CATAAGCGGTGGGCACATTAACATGTGCTCACCGTGGGTAGGTGAACATTATTGTTTGTATCAATGTATATATGTATATAAGATAAGTGGATATTTTTAATTTTTATTTATTAATTTTTTATATTTTTTTTTTTAAAAAAACACTTAGGAGGGTAGGGGTTAAGGCTGAACCCTCAACCTGTATATAAAAAAGGCCCTAAATGGGCAGAAAAGTAACAAGACTACAATTTCAATGTCTGATATACATCAAGCCGAACGAAAAACCAAAACCAAAAGCAAAAAAGTATACAAAGAAAAGCTGAAAATTGCAGCGAGAAATACAAAAATAAGAAATCTTGGTCCTGAGAGACTCCCGACGAAAAAGTCAGCATCACAGTATGGCAGATGCGCCAAAAGGTAGGACCAACTATACAAATCTGAAATATGGGTATTCCATTTGGTCCATTCGTATGAAGGCGGAGGCGGAGAGGAATATCGTCAGGGTAAAGAATGTGTCTCTAGGGGGTGCAGGACCCGATGCCAGCGAGGAAGTTAGCAGGCCGGTTCCCCTTGTAGAAGATGTGCAAGATCAGAAAGAGAATCGACCGAAGAGTGACTCTGATACGCATGAGAGGGTGTTGAATCAATTACGTGCCCTGATGACCAAATGACAAGAGAGTGATGACAGCGACATCGTCCAACTCTATCCAAATGTGAGAGGAAATCGAAGCAGCAATCTGAAGACCAATCTGAAGCGCCTGAACCTCCACTCATAGCTCGAGGAGGCTCGAGGTGGGGCATGAAAAGCGGTAATAAGGGCACCACTATGATCCCTAATCAGGTCCTTCACCTCCTGCAACTCCAGTAACTCGGTCAAAGGCTCTATCAGTGTTTAGCTTAACCTAAGGCGACTTGGTTTTCAGCCAAACAACAGCTCTAGGATGTGGATGCTGGACAGACGCCAGCGGAGGTGGTGCAAGACGGTTAGGTGGCATGCAACCTGTCCAGTCTCTCTGGGTGAGTCTGCCCAAAGCGGTGAGGAAGGAGAGATGACGGTCAAATTACAAAATAATATAGGAACACAAAAAGGGTAATTCCTATGCTTCGCATTATTTCTTTGTGTCCAGGTGGCCCAAAGGATCAGACAAGGAATAAAGAAGCCCACGTGTCTAATGTGTGTGCTCTGTCTGAAAAAACTTAGAAGCTCAAAGAAAGTATTTGTGGAGGGTATGGGCCGGGATATGAGTGTAACTGGTATAATGCTCTCACACTCTCCTCACAATCTTGCTCTCTAAAAACAAATGGGTGAAGGTATCCGTCTGAAAATCCCCGGTCTCAGCACAACAGTAGCAACGCGAGGGAAAACGTAACCCTCTCGCCTACATCATAGTATCAATCGGTAGGCGGCACAAAAGGAGGCGCCATAGAAAAACAGAGATGGTAGGGGTAAGTAGGTCGGTCTAGATGCCCCGAAGAGAAGGTTAGGTCGGTCACCCAGCCGTACTTCCCCCAAAGCCGAGGTCAGAGAGAATGCACCAGAAGATGTAAGTCTCTACCTCAAACCGTCCAAACTGTCCTCCGAGATGAGAATCTGCTGGATGTCATCTATCACCTGGTCACTAAGGCCCACTCCAGTACCCAAAATCCTCTCTAGCCTATCCATATCCCATCCCCCCTCCGTCTACAGGTCTTTCACCTGCAGAAAGGAAATGTGGGTAACCTGTCTAATGCTTGAAAGGGGACCCTCACCAAACCACCACTCATCCCAAAAACTAATGTCCCCCTCACCTAGAGTCCAAAATATGTGCTTCTAAGCACATTTACCAGCCATGGTGAGGTGCCTCCACTGTCTGCTATCGCGAGCGGTGGCCATCACCCTACAGGGTGGGCAGCGCCTCCAGGACAGTACTTCCGACGAAGATACTGGGCCCAAAGTGACTTACCCTCTCTAAATGTAATGTCCCGTTTATTTGTAAAATATTTGAGAATTAGTTAAATTAGTATTGCTTTTATTATTAGTATTATTATTATAATTATTTGCCTAAATGTCATTAAATGTCTAAATGATCTTATTATTATTATTATTATTATTGAAATTTCTAAATGCCTAGTTGTGTCTAAATGTTATTTATAACAATTATTTATATGTATATATTAAATAAATATTACCCAGTTGTAATTTTATTTTATCTCGCGAACCGTTTCGAGCCCGAGTCCCGGCCCTTATTATTTTTTGAACCCGCAACTTTGGTATATGATTCCCGGCCCTTTTAATTTGTAGACCGAGCCTCGTTAACTATAACTGTAACCGTGACCCGCACGTTTGAACACCTTAGCCCGCCCGATCCATCGAGCCCAGCCCGGTGTGCGTGGAAGGTAAGTAGGGTTTGGCAGCTATACCTATTTTGAACCCGCACGCCACCCTCAGCTAAAAACCATCTCCCGCAGCTTTTTTTTACCGGCTCATCTCAATCTCTCCCGCAGCAGTAAGAGAGAATTCTATCTCTCGCCCTCACTTTCTCTCGCTAATCTCTCGAGCAGAGAGAAAAACATTTGGCCATCAGAAAATCCTTCACCATCGTCGCTCTTCACGCAGAGAACTCCCCTTTTTCCCTCGTCCGCACCATCATCACTCTCGTACAGGTCTTTTCTCCGCGACCAAGGTTTGTGCAACAGCATCATCGTCATCTCGCGATCAGCAGTGAACCAGCGAGCTTCGACCACCGCACAGCGCCACCACGATCACCCTCATCCACCCGTGATCCCACCATGCCGTCCATACAGTCAGGCTATGCTCTTTTGCACATCGCCTGTCGTTCACGATCAGTCCCACCAAGTGCCGCTGCACTTCAGCTTCCTCCGGAGATTTCCCGTTCGCGTGAGGACTCCCAGGTCGCCGCTGACCCTTTCCATCATCACCTTGGTCCGCCATGAGCATGAGCAGAATTCTGGCGATTCCCGGCGAACCCTGACGTGTCTTTCATGTTGCTGTTCGTGAGCATCTCCCCAGCAAGGCCCTTGTGGTTGTCCCATTCATCGTGCTCCGTCGGCGAGCCAAACGAAGTTGTCGAGCTTCCTCGTTTCGGTCAAGCACCACCAGCAATTCCCGCTGTCCGTCGGCACTTCCGCGAATGTTTTCTGATGTCCCTAGCAAACCGGGGCAGCCCCGCAGAACTACGTACACGCCACCCCCGCGAGCCGTTGTCGTTGAGCTCGACGGGCGTGCTCCAAGCCTCCAAACATCCCGTCTCGGCCATCGTTTTGATCGTCGTCGCGTACTAATCCCAAAAATGGTACCGAAGCTCGATTCCCCTCTCGTTTATATATGTGTTTCGAGCTTTGAAGTTATTTCGTTATTTAGGATTATATATTATGTGTTTATGTAGGGATTTTATCGATTAATGTGAAATCATACGAAATCTCATCGAAATCGTGTTAGGACTATGGATTTTGGAACCTTGTCGTGTCCTTGGCCTCATGGCGAAGGCCTTGGACGAATTCGGTGTGTTTCGAGTCTTATATGATTTTTCGAAACCGAACTAGCTGTTGAAATGTATTAAATTCATCATAAATTGTATGCTATTCCGGTCGTCATGAAATTTCATATGTGATGTCCTGTGTTAATATTGTATGTTGTGTGAAAATTTCAGAATTTAGTTCAATACGTACCTATTTTAATTAATTAAAGTGATTTCTGGGCAGAATCGTATTAATTGGATGATAAATTGAGTTGTGCTCCAAACTTGATGAAATTTTAGTATGTTGTCTTTCTATATGATTATGATGTTGTGTAAAAGTTTTATAATTTTTAAACTGAGATTGTTAGGGTAAATAATTTATTTAATGTTTTTTCAGAAAGACGTTTTTAATTATGATAAATTGGTCTTTTGCTCAATAATTCTGATATTTGGC